ATCTATCTATCTATCTATCGTAAGGATACTAGTTTTTAAGAGAAGCAGTAAACAGTATAAGAGAAGCACTTCAGCTGAAGGACCATATGAGCTTATAGACATTTAACTGACAAGATGGTGTTAAGAACAGGGTACAGTAAGCCTTTGCAGTTTATACTATTACAGCGAAAAGAAAATGTTTTAAATGGTAGTTATTTCTTGTCTGTTCTTACCTGGAATAAAACCTATTGTGTAGCTTACACTGAACATGTGAGTGCTTAACAAACAAGGTAGAACAAGTACCATGTGTTGGCAGAAAATTCAAGCTCTCATCAGCTTTATTCCACCCCCCAAAACCTCAGACCGTAGCACAGAGACTTGCTGACCTTGACTTTGATCTTTGGACTGTGGTTCTGTCTTACCCAGAAAGGACTCTGAGTCTGATAAGAAGCTTGATAGCTGCCTTGTAAACCTTTACAGGTCCTTTAACCTTCTGCATTCATTTTAATCTTTAATCTTTACACTGTGGCAGACAGAACATTAAAATCACAGAGGCCATTGCTTTCACGTCACGCAACACACCATATTTAGCTGATGAATCAGGTTTTATACTTGTGTATATGGTTGTATACGGGAGGGGTGAAACCACAGAATATGGCTCAAACAAAAACACAAGGTTGTTGGGTGGACTGAATGACAGACTGATGTTTTTGAGCCTCATTAGTAATGGAGCTTAAATTACTTTAAATTTATTCCCATGGGAGCAAGAATGTGGTCATGAAACTTGAATTTATTGATTATATCTTTTGTGTACAAGGGGATATTTTGGTTCGATTGTGGCACTACAAGAAACTTAACCAATAATATTAGGATCTATCCTCTGAAGATTGTAAACATTAACATTACATTATATATCAATCTGACCAGTAGTGGGACATAATATTTAAACATGCAATCCCATTCACAATTAACTGCCACACCATGGAAACAATTAATGTGTATACAGTGCATCAGTAAGGAAACATCTCAGTCACGTTCAAGCGAACCCACCTGAAGAGAGAGGGAATCCCTTTCTATAAACCTTATAATTAACCGCCCACATGTACAGGAGAAGAATGTGACGCAAAAACTTTGACACATTCCAGTTACGGCAGATTCTCACTGCAGGTTTAACAGCACAGCACTTTTAATAAGATCACATTCCAGGTTTGATACATCAGGTACAACTTGTTTTAGAGCTCATGGTGACTGCACCGAGGTGGGGAGCTGCTGATGAACCTTGATGGTGAAATCTATTCAACCTTACGAGCTACCGTTAGCAGAAGAGACTTGTACTTTTTCACAGGAAATATAAAATCGAGTAGGCTGTGTATGATTTGAAAATATCCAGCAAAGGCCTGCCAGTGGTAAAATAAAAAAAAGACACTGCAGCAGACAACAGTGCAGACTGCACTAATCTACACAATTTACTAAACTCAGCATTCTCCCAGAGGTTGAATAGTGTACAATTTGGACACTCAGTGAGATTTCCTTAACCTTGCCTATGAGCAACTACTGGCAGCTATTGTATAGAGAAACAAAACTGGTGGCTGTTAAAGAGGTTATCTTGGATGCTGCATCAGTTATAGTAGAACTGCAGCGTATTTCTTCTTTCTTGCAACACTTTTCATCAACCACTTCCCAGATGGTTCGCTACTGTAAAACAAAAATGTTAACTCTGTTCCACACAATATCTCAAAATGTTGCGGAGCACGCTCATATTTTAAGTTTGATTAACCGACTTGACTTAATAAATGACCCCCTGTTGCCTTTTTTTTTAACACCACTCTGAAGACAAACTCTACTGAATCATTAACATTTGATATTAATAAAATGTGGTAAAATTGACATTTGCTTAAATTTATGGACTTGATTATTACCTGATGTGCTCATGAATCATGATAGCCGCACACTATGATAAGAACTATTCACCTCTGAATGGATGTTATGTAACAAGACAACACGAGTACATGCATGCAATAAAAATTAATTGTCTCACAGATAGACAGTTTTGAGATTGCTACTGTTCACAGCAAGACAGAAATTCGCTGTGACAGCACTCTCCCAAATAATTACAATAATTACAGCTTCAAACATACACTTCCCATTGTAGCAAGGCCAATCCCTTCATTCAATCACGCAATATGCACTTCCACTTTGTTCCTCCACCCGAGGCGAGCCGTACATCCTGAATGCATGCACGTCAGTGAGGGAATACCTCGGGCTGTACTCATGTTTGAGCAAACCCAGGGAATCCTGCTCAATAAACATGGTGGTTACTTAAACTAAGTGAGTCACCCACTCAAAGAGAAGTGAGTCACAATCTAATACCAGCAACATGACAAAACAAGTAACAGATGCATAGGAACCACTTTAGTGTGTGGACCGAGCGGCTTCTTAAAGTAATAAGTAAAACAGTAGGCCTACTTAATCAAGAATGTTTCTTTACCTTACAAAACTAAGTTAATGTCATATTTTTAATTTGAGTTTGTGGTACTTAACATTTTGGATGTAATCCATTTCGTATTAAAGTGTAGATACTTAGTATTTTTCAAAAGAGATCATCAACAGGTGACAAACTACAAAAGACGGAATAGAAGTGCCCTTCAGGTAAAATCAAGTACAATACTGAGTTGCCCGCTTTCCCCATTTCCTTGCATTAACAATATATCTGCTTGCACAAATTATAATCAAGAGTTAAATTTGACAAATGTTGGTGTAAGTAAACATTAATATCAACTCATTTGCAAATGATCTTTTGATTAATTTTACTAACTTATCCATACTGCCTTTGTCTTTGTTTTTAGAATATACAATTATCTCTCTTCAACGTGGAAAAAAACTGAATGGCAGTAAGAAAATCTAACATAAGAAGTACAACAATCATTTTAGTGCAACAGATATTTAAGACATGCAATAAGTCACAGTGACCAACAGATACATAAAAGAGAGTCTGATACACACCCTTAAATACACACACCTGCAAACTTATGTAACCACGGATACACAGACAGCTCAACGGTCACCACTAAGGGAGGGAATCGAGGACAAGAGAGAGAGACAGTCTTCTTCTTGAACAGTGTTTCCAGTACTAACATGTAAACAGATCATTTGAAGGGCATGGAAATAATCAGTGGTGTGACTGCCCTACATATGACAGAACATGACTGACATGGTTTAAATAGCTTCAGTATTGTCAGTCATATCATGTGTGAGTGTTTTCTACTTTTCTAAAAAGAACAGTACATTTAAATCGGTTTGACTTCTCTTAGCTGAAGATATATGAATAAACTTTAATTTTTAAATAATTTGCTGCTCACTGTTGACTACATTTATTCATGAAGTTTTATCAGTAAGGTTTATTTTCAGTGTTTACTAGGTCAACATGTATTTTGTGTTTAGACAGTAATGCACTTAATGCACTCTTCATTAAAGTGATAAAAAAGAGGGTCAACTTTCATAATCTGCTGTAAACTGCAGTTAATAATAGCATTTCTGATTAGATGAAGGTGCAATAATAGCTTTTGGAGGACTGCTAAACTGATTCTTGTGTGTGGATGGGATAAAAGTATTGCCAGCTGCTTGTGAGAGAACATTGTTGCATTAAACTGAAATGTTTAGTCCTTGCAGTGAGCGGCTGCAGCTGAACCTTCTCCCCTTACTTAGTACATTTTACTCAGCTATAGTCTAAGTTGTGCATGTGTTGGAGTGAATACAAAGCCTTTGCCACCACCTCAAGTTTTGTTGGAAAACCTACAAACTCACTGTTCAATTGTTAATTAAAGTTTATTTGCATTATCTTTGTAATTAAATACATTTGTATTTTAAATCCTTGATTTTAACACTCAAAAAAAGACTTTCTGAACATTTTATAATAATTCTGTGCAATTAAATGTTGATGTATTTGTTAAACCACAGGTTTATAACTAATAGTCCAGTGGTTCTCAACCTTTTAGAGTTGTGGTCTTCCAGAATAATCAGGTAGGTTTTCGTGACCCCCCCCCCACCCCACATGTGTAACACATAAAAGCTACCAAACTCACAGACAGAACAACTCATTCGGGATTTTAGATTTTTTTTAAACTCTTCAGTCAACACGCCTTCTTTAAGCCTAAAATCACAATAATAGATAAAAAAATAAATCTAAATGAATTATACTTTGGTTCATTTTACAGAAACTATGAGCAACAAACCATTGAATTGCCAATCTAACTGACTGGCTTTCCACAAGACTATGGAAGGTAGCAACAGACAGTTTCTCTCATTCATTCACAAGAACATTAGTGAGGTCGGACGCTGATGTTGGATGATAGGGCCTAGCACACAGTTCATCCAGTTCAAGTTCATCCCAAATGTGTTGGATGTGGTTGAGGCCAAGTTCCAGTCCCATTTGGATCAGGGCGCGATAAATGCAGCAAAAAAGGTGTAACAAATTCTGATAAACATAATTGGTATCATACAAATCAGGTTTACTTAAAAAGTGCTCCTTGAACCATACAGTAGATGTATCAGTGATTGTTTAAATCTGTGTATGATATAATGTGTGTTGTTAATGAGGGTTATGAGACTCAAGCATGCAGAAGTAGAATTAAAAGAAGCTAAG